AGTAGCGATGATGAGTACCCTTCTAAACTGATTGTGAAGTCATTATGGGGGAAAAATTTATTGGCTATTGCAACCAGGTGGCATTTGTGTCATCATCTAATCAAACAGTGAAACAGATACTACGTATACTCTAAAACACAAAATGCCGCCTTGGATGGCAATATCGGAAATGTATTGTTGACTCACATTTCATTATTTGATGAATTTTTTGAAGGGTTAATCTGAGCTAATGACTCAATCTTTCAATTAATTCATGGATTTATAATTGTATCACTTTTACCATTTATATTTTTTGCAGTTAGCGTAAATCTCCAATTCTCCATGAGGGCAAGTAGGCATGCAAATGACTTGGACTCTAGAGCTCGAAGTTCTTCAAATAGTCAACTTTTTATTTGGAAATTATAATTTTGATTTGTTATTTGATATTAGAGATTTTATGGTTGTAAAATTGTAATTTATAATGTGGTATGTCTTGGTTGTAATTTGATATTAGAGATTACTTTTCATTTCAGAATTATGTAATTATAATTCATAATTTATAAGTTAATAAATTATTGTCTTTTTTTTTTGGGAAAATAAATTATTGTTTTGGATTATATTATTTGCTCTCTTGGTGGATTGGTTTGCATGTGCTGCTGTCTTGCTGGATTGGTTTACCTGTCAGGACCTCTCACTTGAAAACGGGTCGACGGGTCAATCCGTGTTGACCCGAACCCGGCTCGGGTCGGGTTCGGGTCCTAAATACTGACCCGTTTCTATAAACGAGTTCGGGTTCAGGTTGACCCGTTTAGGTTCGGGTCATGTCGGGTTCGACCCGAACCCGACCCGTGACCCGAAATTGACACCCCTAGTGATAAGCATAATTAAAAAAAATTAAAGGTGTTGCGTGCTAGAATATACGTGGCGGTAGAGTTTGTAAATTCGCGTCAGAGTGTTGTACGAGTATTTAGCACACAAACAGAAAAGAGAAATGAACACTAAGGTTTTTATATGGAAAACCATAAAGAGGGAAAAAAACCCGGGGCCTCACCCAGTTGTAAAGTTCCACTAGTATTTGTTTGAAGTAAAAAGGTTGATCCGTCTTACAAATCAAGACGATCAGTTTATAATCAACTTCTCACAAAGTTACAAAGTTCTGCAAATTCCCTACGTTTTCCGAAAATCCAGCAAAGTTCCGGTGTTTTCAAGCGGCGGGAAGAGCTCCGGTGGTAGTCGAGGAGCTTCTTCCTTCTCTTCCTTCTTCTCTTCTTCTTCTCTCTCTTCACTTGAGTCCTCTTTGTGAAGAATGAGGGCTCTATTTATAGTTTTTCTGGGATGGCATAGCTCGTAAATAGTCTTGAGATCATGGGTGAATTGGAAGTGGTTTAAATGGACGGCCGATATCGGATCATTTGATCATGCACCGTTTGTTGGACATTTGAAGGCCTTAATGACGTCGGAATTTGGTGATCTTGGGCTCGTTGGATTCGTCTCGTCGACCCGTTCGATTCATCGACTATAAGCTTGTTAAAATCGGAGACCGTTTGACAACTCAAATTGTGGTTTGAACCTCCCAACAGCGCTTCGGGCCCTTGATTCGGACCCATTGGGGCTCGGATTGGGTTGAATTCAGTGTCATTGAGTTCGTGTTTCCGAGACGTTCAGTTTGACTATAAGCTCGCTGGAATCGGAGTTCAAATGCTCCTGAATTTAATCTTTGAATTTTCTAACAAGCTTTTTGCCTCGAGATTCGTGCCCGATCAAGATAATTTTGTGATGACACATCAAAAGGCCATTTAAGATATCAAATATCCTTCAAAATTTTCCTATTTTTAGTGAAAATGTGCATCTCAATGAATTAAAAATCAATTAATTTTGAGTTAATTAAGCTACTAATATGCTTATAAAAATATCATGTAAAAGGATGAACTATTTGGGCTAGCTAATGCTGTGTTCGATTAGAATGCCCCCTCTCTAATATATAAATAACCACTATCTATACGCATTTAGAAATACCTTTTGTTGGAAATACTTAGAGAATTTTAAAAATCTAGCTATCGATTGGAACCCTGATAAATTTTTCTGTGATTTTCTTTGTTCATACTTCCTCTTTGTCTCTTAGTTTCTTGCAACGTCTATTTTTTAAAGAAGACTTTCTATAAGATTGAGAAGGCAACCTTAGTAGTAATGGCACATAAATGCTTGCATTAACATACAAAGGTAGCCGCACATCACTTAAAGAGTTAAGACGGCAAAGATGTTTGTTCCTAATATCGATAAATTTGTCATTATATCATATCTAAATTGTAGCCGCATAGTGGATATCCACAAATTAATGACTTGAAGTGGATATAATTAAATGGCATTTTATTTAATCCACTTGTTCTCCGAAGTTACCTACATATAAAAGGAATTTATTGTAAAAATTCCTAAGGAATCTCTTCTTCTTATATAGCCATTAGCAGGCACAATTATCTAAAATCTTGAATACCTTTGACATAGGAGTGTCAATTTTTTACACGACTTGAAACATGACCCGAACCCGACTCGGAACAATCCGGGTTAGGGTCAACCTGGACCCGAAATCGTTCGGGTTCGGGTTCAACAAATCAACCCGTTTAAAAATCGGGTAGGATTCGGGTTGACCTAGCAACCTGAAAATGACCCAAAATTGACACGAAAACTCCTATTTGACTCGGAAACCCGAGATTGACCCGATTTTGACCTGAAAATCAAAGATTGATCCGATTTTTGACCTGAAAACTAGCAATTTTAGGTCAACTTCGGGTCATTCGTGTCGGGTCGGGTTGACTCGGACCAGAAACAGGTCGGATTCGGATTGACCCGAACAATGTCAGGTCAGTTCCAGATTCGACCCGAACCCAACCCGTTGACCCGATTTGACACCCCTACTTTGACATACTCAAATGAAGTTCTACTTTTTTCCCAATACATTAAGAACATTAGAACACTCACTAATTTAGCTCCTTCAAATTTTATACATGTCAATAACAATGCATGGGAGTTGAGGAATAACCAATTAGGAGTTTTTATAAAAATAAAAAAATTTCATTAAAATTATATTATCTCCTCACTTAAATGGAGGCAAGTCATAAAAATACTCTAACTCCATAACTACTAAAAAAATATATCAAAAGGAGCTAAATTGTTTTAATTTTATAGCCTATCAAATGATAGTTTTTTTTTTATGTAAAAATTTCAAGAAAAGATTTTTTATGCAAGCAAAAAGTACAATTTTTTTTTTTTCATTTTAAATTAAGTTGCAAAATTTAATAGAATTGAAGACATGCAAGATAATTTTAATATTAAAAATAAAAAAAAAATAATCAAAATGTCATTGATATATCATCAAAAAATTATCTTGATATGGTCAAAATCAAAGACCCGAAGCACATTGGAAGGTTCTATCCATAGTTTGGATTACCAAACATTTTTCAAATGTGGCATGGTTATAGTTGAATCGAGCGGCTTAACGAAACAAATCCAGCGAGCCCAAGTTCGCCAAATTCTGATATCGTTAAGACATTCAAATGACCAGTAAATGGTCCACAATCAAGGGATTTAACATCGGTTGTCCATTCAAATCACTCTATATTTTCCCTTGATCATTCTCCTTTTTAATGGTCATGCCACTCTAAAAAAATTATAAATAGACCCTTTATTTCTCAAGAGAGGGGACCCAAGTAAGAAGAGAAGAGAAGGAAGCAAGAAGAGAATGAAGAGAAGGAAGAGAGATCTAGCTCTTCCCACCAGACTCCTCCTCGACCACCGTCGGACTTCCACCTGGCAGCCGACCGATGCCGGTGTTCTGCCCGACTGCCGCCTAACACCAGAGTTCTGTCCGACTATCGTTTGATGTCGGAATTTTGTCCGACAATAAACTAACGTCAGATTTCTGCCCGACCATCAATTGAAGTTGGATTTCTGCCTAACCATCAAACGTCGCCGGATTTTCGATCTCCGTTTGTAACTAGCATGGATTTCAACCTGACGGTTGATTATTGTAATCTGACCGTCCTCAATTTCAGGAATGAGTTAGTCACTTGTAATTAATTTAAACGTTAGCAGAATATTTTTCAGCTGGGATAAGCCCCGTGGTTTTTCTCCTTTTCAGGATTTTTTCTCATAAAAATTATGGTATTTTTCATCTTATGTTCGTGTGCTGGATATCCATCAACGCTGAGAAGAAAAATTCTAACTCTTTCGTTGCATATATTTCAGCCCGCAATAGTCATAATTTCACATCAGAAAGCCTTGAAAAAAGAAATATATATGAAACGTCTTACAATTAAAAATCTAGCCAAAGCAATAAGAAAAGGCTAAAAAAATCTCTAGAGATGATAAAAAATTTATCAGACAAGCAAAAATTGAATTCTTCAGATTGATCCATAAATTTTCTTACAGAAATTTTATTTTGTTGTGATATTCTTTACTTTTTTATTTTTGTCAACTTCACATCAATCTTCATCTCCCACTAAGTGGACAATGAGTTTAGGGATAATTGACTTTATTTAAAAATAAATAAATAAAAGCCTCAAAATAAGACAAAAATCAGCATCACCTCAATTCAAATTCATGAAATTTTGATACTTAACCCTTTTTTAGAAGAAGATCAAAGTTTTGTCTTGAGAAATAGGAACCTCATATTTTTCATTGGATATAATCCATCCAAACAATAATATTCTACCCCTTGATATTTTAGAGGAAGAACAGTACTTCAGCCTATAAATTATGAACCTCTCATAGTCAAGCAACAAGTACATTTTTTTTTATGAAGATTTGAGTCTCATCATGAAAACTGCATATGCTCCCGAAATTAATTTTTGAAGTTTCCAACTAAGTTTTGCCTCGAGATTCGTGCCCAATCAAGATTATTTTGTGATGATGTATCAATATTTTAAATTTTATCTAAGTTTTAAAAATCCCACATAATTTTTCAAAATTTTAAAAATCCCGTCTATATTTAAAAATTTCCGCCCATGGCTATCGAGCTGGCTCGAGAGCCGGCTCGAGCTCATTTATAGTTAGACGAGCTCGAGTTCGAGCTCGACTCGAGCTCGCTTTCCATGTAATGAGCTGAGCTTGATAAGTGTCTAAACTCGACTCGTTTACACCCGAGTCCCAATAAAGCTAATTTAAGTAAAAGAGTATTCTTCAAAATCATAATATTCACTATTCATCCAACAGATAACCAAACAATAATAAAAACCTTCAGTAATAACAAATTGATATTTCATTTGGGACTACTTTTTTATTGATTTTTATAACAATTTTTTAGTTTAAAAATTAAAATTTTATATCAAAAATTTATTTTAAAAAGTAATAAAAAAATCGTCTCAAGGAAGTCTGAATCTCAGCAGAAAAGCACGGCCACTCTCTTGCTTAAATAACATTAATTATTTTAATAATATGCATGCAAAGGTTCTGCCAGTGGCCACACCCTTCTTATTATTTATTAATTTTGATAAAATGTTTTGCAAATAAATTTGGGGTTAGTTATTCCTTCAGGTTTAAACCCTAAGCTCGTTGCTTATTTAACAATCTAGGATATGATTAATTAGTATTAAATATATAATATCATAAATTTTGTTTTTTAAATCGAGGATAGTTTTAGTAAATGCTTGAAATTGTAAGGGGTAAAACCGTCTTTTGCATTCTTCACATGTGGAAAACATGGCCTCCCTTTTTTTGTCTTGAATCATGAGCGAAGCAGCGTAGTCAAACTGCCAACTCATTTTTTGTTCCTGCTTCTTTATCTTTAAAACAAAAAAGAATATTCTCTAACGTAAGAGTAAGACATTTGTCTCAATTTTTTAATGTTTTTATTTATTTTCCAAAAAAAAGTTTTTATTTTTTTTTAATTTCTATCTATTTTGTAAAAAATAATTAATCACATTTCAACTATATTTATTTTCTCTAATTTTGACATTATTTCCTTTCCTATTTTAGAGATTTAAGAGTTAAAAAAAAGGAATGCATTTTAACCTAAAGTTTCAAAGGATTTACTATTAAATCCAAAATTATTTGCAAAAATATCAAAATTCACTGAGAGTATTGAGTTACAAAAAAGAGTGATAACTATAAATTTTATATATTTGAGTTGAGGCTTCCGTGTATATAACTAAATAAAAATAAAATTTTCATATACACGGAAACCTCAACTCAAAAATTATATTAAAAACCGCTTTCTTACTACTTAAATCCGCTTTTTAGTATGACGTTTTTTTTTGTATTAAAAAACTGCTTTAAGAAGCAATAAGAAAGTCGTCCCAAATGAACCTAAGATGCAATTTGAATTTTAATCCAATTCTTATCAGTCTATCTATGACTGTTTTACTAGACTTCGCAACTTGAATAAATTCTAGATAATCGAAGCTATTTTTAGATGACAAAAGCGAGTCTATGCATTAAGGATAGAATTTTTTTTTTTTTTGAAGTTCTTGCAGATAATATGTGAGAAGCATCTTATGGACATTAATAGTAGATTTTCTACTACTATACTTTGCCTAACAAAAATACTTGTTTTCAATGGGATGCAACCCTTACTATCAAAGGAATACTACTTACTTCAATTCTTCTCGAGCTCCATGATAATGCCCCAAACACATAATCGTTTGAAGGAGTGACCGCCCAGAAATTCACCGTGAAATTTCTCTTCTCACCATAGCTTCTGAATGATAGAACATCAGGTACAACGGTTACATTGATTCCTTTTGGTGAAATCACAAGAGATCTATATAAGCTTCTAGCTCTGCCCACATTTGTCACTTCTCTGGTAACCGAGTAGTTTCCATTCAGATCTGGCACAGTAATTGCAGGATAATTCAGGTTAGATCGAACTTGGTGTGACTCACTGCAGCTGCGATTACTTTCTCCTGTTACTAAATTCAAGTATTTGTCACTGTATCCAGTTAAGCAGAGGAAAGCTTTGTAATCTGTAGCTTCAATATCATAAATGAGGCCGGGGTGGAGCATTCTTGAAGGATCTGGGAAGCCTGAGCCATAGTCAAACGCATTTGCTCTTCTTCCAGAAGGATCTGCGGTAATGAATCTGCCAGTCTTGTCTAAGACTGTCGCTGCAATTCATTTCAATGAAGTCAATAAATTTGGATGGGAAAAAAAGACCAATTTTTTTTCCCTATATTGGTGATGCGGTCTCATTAGGTTGGATGAAAATATGCTTGTCAAGAGGTTATATTGAAAAATGATAATGCTAAAACAGATGTGTTTAAAAAATTGAGCAAGCCAAATACGAACACAATACAAGCTTGCTCAAGCTAGGCTCGTTTACACCCTTAACATTCATGAGATAATCCTTTTTGGCCTTTAAGTTGGTAATCAGTAGTTTAATTGTTATTTGTCAATTTGGACTAGTTTGACATCATCATATTTGTCAAGTTGGAGGTGGCACCGGACATTAAACTTGGCGGTGATGGCAGAATCGACTTTGGTGGCGACGATGGGAGTGAGCATTAGCATTGTTGGGTGCAACATGTGTTGTTGTTGTTAGACACAACTTTTTGAACTCTTTGGGTCCTAAAATTCTCTCCTCTAGAATCCTCACAGGGTCATCCTTGGGGCTAGGGCTATCAAAATTGGGTCATGGGTCGGGTTCGGGTCCAACCCAGAACTGACCCAACAATATTCGACACAACCCAAACTCAAACCGTTTTTGAAAACAGGTCAATTTTTCGGACCCGAACTCTACCTGCTTCGGGTTTAGGTCAACCCGACCCGACACTAAAATACCTGACATGAAAAGGAGGAACTAGAAGAAGAAGAGCGTAAATGGCCAGATGAAAAAGTGCGCAAATGGCAGGCCGGCAGTCGGCGGACGGTCATGGCAGGCCGGTGGACGGTCACGACTCACGACAAACCTAGAACTCCTGAAGGTCATGGGACGACCGGCTATAGCGAGGGTGGGAAGGCAGCATCGAGACGACCAGCCGCATTGGGTGTGCAAGGGCAGTGACGCCGATGAGCTCGAATCGAGATGGTTCAGAGATGTGACATTGCGACTAACGGACACGACGGATGGAGTGATGAATAGTGGATGCAACTCAGCGACCAACACGACGGCAGATAGGGAGGGAAACTGTCGGTCCGAGTCAAACCAGGTTGATTTCGAATTTCCGGGTCAATCCGAACCCGACCCGGTTTTACAAACAGGTCGAAACCCTTAATCTGAACAACCCAATTCGGGTTCAGGTCAACCCGAACCCGAAATTTCGGATCAGATTCGGGTTTGAATTTTCGGGTCGTGTCAAATATTGAATAATGCTTATTTATAAATTTTTTAGGGGATAGTTGTATTCAAACGGGCCATTCGCACGCTTATTTAGAGAAATCCCAGTTGCATTTGTCGTCCACCACATTCGAATACAACTCTCCTCAAAAACCTCTTCTAGTCAACTTCTTCAAATTCACATTTAAAACCACATACCCATATGCCTCCATGAATTTCTCTTAAATTTAAATTTATAACTAATTTTACATATTCTTCATTTATATTCACAAAATTCTCATTTGACTGCCTCTTGAAATGTTAGATTCATATTATGTTCATCCAATCTCTATTCACTTCCTAAAATCCTCAAAAAATTTCATATTCAAAATTAAAATCCAAATCACCCAAAGCCATATAACACTTTCTAATGGATATTATTTGGTTTGTCACTCTTCAATGAAAAACACTAGAAGAAAATTATTCAGGTGAAGAATAAACCACAACAACAACAAGTCTTTATCCCACTACATAGAGTCAGCTAAATGAATCATTTTTCTCCATTATCTCCTAGTAAGAGTCAAACTCTCATTTAAATCTAATAAAAAATATCATTTTTAATAATTTCCAGTTTCTAACCAAGTATTTTTATATCAACTTCTATCTTTCTTAACATACGTCGGATCTAATACCTCTCCTAACAAGGTCATTGGAAGGCCGATGTTTTATGTGACCAAACCATCTAAGGCGGCTCTCTATAATTTTATTCACCATTGAAGCTACTCCAACCTTTTCACATATATGCTCGTTTCACATTATGTCTCTAAGGGTAAAACCACCCATCCTCCAGCATTAATTTGAAAAAGATAAAAAAAATTAATTATCTGATCAACTTCACCCTCTCTAGTAAACCTCTTTTTCTTTATTTTCCCAACGTTTGTCAAAGCTCCCTTAAATTCAAGCTATAAGGTTGAATTCCCTATTTAAACATAGAAACTATATATCAGAACCACTAAAAACAGTGCACAATTTTCCTGAGCTTTTGCCGCTGTTACCTTTACCTTTTTTTTTTTTGGTGTTAAAAGAGTTGGTTCTCTAAACCAATATTTCAGCCAAAGTAGTCTAACAGTGAGCATGAAGATATCCAAGCTATAATAATGTTCTTGAGGATTGATGAAGAGGTTCTTATATCAACATTGTTGGAGGTGGTCTGGTTATTGTCTTCAAGACAAATTTTGCATTTGTCACCTCTTTTCTGGGATGAATTTTCCATTGCCTGTCTTCTTAGGCATGAATTTCGCTAGCTATATCAACACTACAATCGAAAACTTTCAATTTGCTCTCCCATAATATTTCAAATTTTAAAAGTAGAGTTCTACGCATGCTAGGGGAATTAATGCAGCACAAATTTATCTCAATCATTGATAATGAGAATGTATTTTTAATATTATTCAATATATAATGGGATCATCATGTTTTCCTTTTAAGTTAATATTTTAATGGTTAAAATATTATTTGTCATTTATAACAACAACAACAACAACAACATCAAACCTTCATCCTACTACGTGGGGTCGGCTACATAAATCCTTTTTCTCCATTGCGTCCTGTTAAGAGCCAAATTCTCATTTAAATCAATAAAGAAAAGACATTTCTAATCTTTTCTAACCAAGTCTTTTTAAGTCTACCTCTATCTTTCTTAACATAAGTCAAATCTAAAACATCTAATCTCCTAGCCGGGTCTCGAAAAGCCGCCGTTTAAACCCATACTTTCCTCTCCAATAAACCTCTTTTTCATTCATTTTAATTTGTCATTTATGACTAATTTGAATTTTTTATTTGTTCACGAGTAGGTTTGTTGCTTTCAATAGATATATTTCTATGAACAATACCATAACCTTCTAAGCTAGATGATTGATGAAGGAATCTAGAGAGACATTCTTTGGCATGCCTTATAAGGATTGAATTCTTTCTCTTAGAGTTTCTTCGTGCTTTATTTGTGTTTACCTTTTGGCTCACTTCCTTTTGGTGTACATACTTCTAACCTATGATGCACCAACACTTTTCCTCAAAAAGACATGTAGTGTCTGACACATAACCAACACGACAAGCATCCGACACATCTCTGACACATGCTGGACACGCCAAAAACGAGTCTGATTAAAAATATGAAATACAATTTGGACACGCGTCTTAAATATTTTAAGAAATTTTTTATAAAAATAATTTCTTGTATTTTAAAAAAATATTTAAAATATAAAAACTAAATTTCTGATTTCCTATCCACAATACCAAATCAATCGTCCGCACCCAATACATCATTCATAAAAATATTCTCATTTTCAATTCTCTTTGGAGGGTCACGACTTTGGTTTTACAACAATGTCCGATGTCATCTCAACATCGATGTCTGACATCGTTACAACATCGTCATTTTAAAATCATCTCAACATCAAAGTCTGACACCGCCTTCACATTGATGCTCGACGCTAGCAAATTTTTATAACTACAACTTGACAGCTCATCTTTGTCCGACATCATCTTAACAACGATGACAGACGCCCTCTTGACATCGACACCATATGCTTATTGCATAACATTGATGCCCGACTCTCGACAATATTGTCTTCTCCTCTCTCGATGCCTGATACACGGCATCGATGCCCGACCCTCAATATTCTAATATTAATCATTTTAAGCACAAATTTTAGTTAAACGACTTATTATTTTTAATATTATACTTATTCATTTTTATAAACTTTTTTTTAAAAATAAAAATTATAATGTCATGTCCAACTCGTGTTTGTGCATATATTTTTAATAATTGACGTGTCCTATGTCCGTGCGTATCCGTGTCGCCGTGCCTGTTTCTGTGCATCAGATCTTCTAACATTCTAAATACCCTCCTTTTTTATCACTTTTATTCTCTCTCTATGTCAAACTCTTCCCCTTTCAATAATCAAAATATCAAAAGTCCACCACCATATGATCTCACTTTGGCTGCCCGCTCATCATCGATTATGTGGTTTGAGCATATACAACAAAGTGCGAGCAGACAAAATTAGTGTTAATGGATTAGGAAGAAAAAGACTTAAAAGTAAGTATGGATAGAAATTGTTCAAAATGATTTATAAAGGATAGGTTTAACGCATCAAGTAACATTCAACATGAACAAATAAAAAATGGGATTTATAAAGCTAACTCCAAATGGTTGGGAAAACACAAAAACGTTTGCAATAATGCTGATGAAAGGAGCCGATTCGCTAACCTGTTGTCATCAATGCAGATTTGATTGCTGAGGGAGACCATGATGGATGAACAGCTTTGATCAATGCTGCAAGTGCTGTGATATGAGGGCAAGCCATGGAAGTGCCAGAAAGAATGTTAAACTCCATCTTGTTATCAACAGGAGACCATGCTGCTAATATATTCAACCCCGGAGCTGTAATATCAGGCTGCAAGGACATTGAGAAACTCATCAACACACAAAAATCTTTCACTCAGAAGCCAGAATAATCATAGTTTCTTTATACTTTCAGAATCCCCGGGGTCAATAAATTGGGTCCTTTTGAAGAGAATGCCGCCACACGTGGAGCTCGTCTTGATCCTATTACAGTCTTTGCGGGCAAAATAAGTGATCTTGCTTTCCTGAACAAAAGCTTAAGATGTCAGAGAGTGTCACAATGAAAATGGAAGCCAGTAAGGTTCTTACTTCGTTCTTGTAACATAATGTTGAATTCTTTCACCAGTTCTCTTTCCAACTGTCACTGCAGGAATTACAAAGGGAAGGGCAACATCATTCTCAGTCTCATCTACTAAAATCATTCCAATTCCCCCAACTTTCTTTACTACAATGCTCTTCCCTATCCTTGACTCAGAATAACTACCAGAATGGTAGCAAATGAGAACTTTCCCTCTGGCCATTGTTTTATTTAATGAGCTATCCAAGCAAAAGCTGTAAGAAAAAAAAAATCAAGTTCCATCATCCATGTTTCAACTAACAAAAGGCGCACAAAAGCAATTCATTCAAACAAATAAACCAACTTTTACTAAATCCATACTTTGCAGTATGGCAGATCAACAAGTTTGGTCACCTTGATTGATAAGGGGTGAAGAATCCATTACTAACTTGTGAAGCTAAGATGGTAGGCGCTGATGCATTCATTCTGAAAGTATTTAAGCTCTCTCCCTATCGATGTCAAAGGGAACTATTCAGTAACTGTATTCAGTATTGTTAGTTTAAGTTACAATCATTAATCACAAATCCACAAACTATTGACAGCATACTTTGCATACACAAGGCATTAAAAAATATGTAGTATGAATCCATAAGAGATTAGTTCAAACAAAAAAAGTATCTCTAGTTGCTTCAACTGTGAATGCATTTACCATCAACTTCTTTCGAGATCCAAGTATTATTTGAGAAGAGAAGTCCCTATCTGTTGAGCTAGCAGCAACAGTGAGCATCCAAGGAGCAAGGTTGGTCGCAGAGCCTCGAGTCCCAACATTTCCAGCAGATGAAATGACAAGAATTCCATGATTAATTGCATGGAATGAGCCGACAGAGATCGAGTCTCGGAAATAATCTCCCTGTGGAGAGTTGGGGCCTAAGGACACAGAAATGATGTCCACTCCATCTTTGATTGCATCATCAAAGGCTGCAAGCAAGTCTGCATCATAGCAACCAGTTTCCCAACAAGTTTTATAGACTGCAATTCTCGACATTGGAACCCCTCCTCTTGCTGCTCCATTGCCCAAGCCATTATAGTTCATATTGTTCACCAATCTCCCTGAAGCTATCGAGGCGGTGTGGCTGCCGTGGCCAGAACTGTCTCTAGGAGACCTAAATTTTGTAATTCTATTGCTCTCTTCAGCTTCATATCCTCGAAGATAATACCTTGCTCCTATGATTTTCCTACAGTTACAAAGCAAGTTGATGCAATCAGGTACTTCTAAATGTAATAACATTTAGAAATTCATCAATTGTTTTGCATACTTGTTGCATGAAAAATTTGCAAAGTTTTTTCCTTGGCATATCCCTCTCCACTTTGAAGGCACAGGAGGCATCCCATGGTCATTGAAACTAGGTGACTCTGGCCATATTCCTGAGAAAAGTAAACCCTAAGTGACAAACCATAATGCATTCCCTTCAAGTAGCCTTCTCCATAAATAAGTTCTCTATCATAATTATTTACAAGACTTACATGAATGAAAAGGTAAACTCAGTAAATCTTACCAAAAGTTCTTATGAATGGTACTAAGTTCAGGGAAAAAAAAAAACTTGTTGAAACCAGACACAAAACTAAATCTTTAGCTATTCATAGTTAAAAATCATTAAGTCGTCAATTTAAGAGTTAAGGAATATTCAAAGAAGCAAAAAATTCTGAACTCAATAAAATTTAGTCCATTGAAATAGTTTCTCACAGAAGAACTCGATAATGTGATGAATATTTAACGAGAGCGGGATGCAAAACCTGTATCAATGAATCCAATAATAACATTCTCCTGATTCTTGGTGGAAAACCCTGGAATCTCCATGTCCTCATTAGTTGAAACACCAATAAAATCCCATGAATGAGTTGTATGCAACATTCTCTTTTCATTAGGAAACACTGAGACAACACCGGACATTCCTAAAAAAGAACACAAAAAACTTAAGCAAGCATAACTATTAATCAGAAAACCTAGATACATTATGAAATTAAATTGTTGTAACCATTACCGGCGATCTTCAAAGCCTGTTTTTTACTTAACCTGGCAGCAAATCCTCTGAAACCGTGCCTGTAACTGTATACATGAGAAGCCCTTGCTTTCTCCGAACTGTTTGAAATTTAATAAGAAAAAAACAGAATCATTTAACACACGCAAGAATTCCTTTCCAGTACTGTGGAAATGATAAAACATGATTTAACCTTCCATCATGAACAGAAGCAAGTAACATATGATTTTGCTTGGATATCTCATTTGCCTCAACCGTTCTTTTGCTTCCCATGTATACTATATAAACCTAAGAACAAAAAAGAGGAAACTTTCTCTTTTTTCTTAATAACCATCCCATTCGGAAGAAGAAAGATTCAAAATAGATATTTGAAATGCTTCGTGATGCAATTCAAACCTACCTCCGAGGAGTAGCAGAAACCTATTTCAGCCAGTAGTGTATAGAGCAGGACGAAGATACGGAAAGCAGCCATTTTTTGAGAGAGAGAGAGAGAGAGAGAGAGAGAGAGAGAGAGAGATTAGTAAAAGATTTTTTTGCATTGATGGCGGCTATTGGATTTTTAATTTATGATTATATATAAAAAATTATCAAAAAAATAAAAAAAAAATATATTATCTAGCCCATGGAGGCATGTGCCCTCGTGCCCCCGTTGTGCCTCCACCACTAGCCAATGGAGCAAGAGGGCGAACGTCCTCTTATGCTATGGTGAAATACAAATGCGCTTCTCGTATACATGTATTGATACTATATTATTATTTACACAAAATTTTATTTGGATATTTAAAAATTCTCCAAGTAAACTTAATTAAGTAATATAGGTTTCATTTTGGGACAATTTTTTATTATTTTATTTTTTAGATCGCAATCATAATTTTTATTTGATCTTTATTTTTTGTTATTATAAAAAATATTTTGTACTAACAAGTTATTTTCTACAAATTTAAAATATTCTTTTTATTGACCGCTTTATAAAATAGTAAGAATGTAGATCCAAACTAAACCTTAATTTACACAATTCATCTGATCAAATATTATTTCATTTGAATTATATTTCTTTTTAATAAAATGTTTCTCAAAACATAATATAATGTAATTCCATTGTCACAAATTTTATTTTCGTAAATAAATTTTATCATTATATTTATTCATTAACCTTTGTAAAGCACAAAATTATGCGAAACAGTTCGAATCTGTATCTTCGAACTGTTCTATTAGGACAGAAAATCAAATCTGAAAGAATAATATTTTATAGTTATGATCGAATAGTTTATTGTAGCAATGATAACATCTGATTAGTTAATTATTGAAAGGTTTACCGAGCACTAACATCTATGCGACTTTTGATTTTTATATTGAGTGCAAGAGCATGCGCCGTTGGAGTTATTGGAAGAAAATTTTGTCTTGAAACACAGATGTGCTGCATGGTCAAAGACTTTGTTTTTATGTTTTATTATTTAATGATGAGGTAACCATTTGTTTTTGTGAGTAATCACTATCATTTAATATAGGCATCTGGTTTAGGATTTGTTTGAGATGATTATAATGTTTTTGAAAGTAATTTTTTAGCCCAAAAATTTTATGAAAGTAATAAAAAAATAATAACCAACTAGAAATTGTGGTTGCCTTTTGAAAAAGGAAAGCAGTAAGAAAGTTGTCTCAAACAACATCCATGTTACTGTTCAAAACTTAAAGTTGTCACCTTCACGTTGAATTTTGGTTATTATCTTTTGTTTTCATTACGGCAATGTGGGCTCCGAAAATTCGTGCCTCAGCCTCTATGCGGACCCTTTCTTCTTATTTGGGTCGTCGAGGAGAGTTTTAACGAGTATATATATACCGAGGAAAATTTTTAGAAGGCATATTTGGTTTCAATAAGACACGACCCAGAGATTTAGTCCTGTTTTGAGAGGACTTTATGATGGGAGTTCATGTTTTCTATACGCGCAAGCCCCTATAGTTAATTACCACTCCCGATAGTGAAAGAAAACTTTCAATTAAGGCTAATCGGCAAATAGATATGTTGTATCTGGCGTATATTAGCAGCAGGGTTTGATATTGAAATTTAAAATTTAAAATTAGAAATGCACCATCTCGCACTTAAAGCGGATGGTGGGGGAAATGAATGATGATACCCCCATCAAAATCTCATGATTATGTCATCCCGATTTATCATGATCCTTATCTACTTAGTCAGATAAGATAGTTGACTCGTAGTCTATTCAGTGATCGAAGGTCGATTGAACCTTCAAGCGACACATAGTGCTGATGCGCGTCACTTGAATCGCCGGTTTAGTTTTTATTTTGTGCGTATTTCACTGGATAGGTCAACAGAAGACAAATTAATTCCACTTCTTCAAAGTCATCAAATGAATCATTTGGTGGAATATATTTTCCTCATCGCCTAGTCCTCTATACGTTATGATGTGTGTTTTAAATGTAATCTCTGTTCCAAGGCCATAAGAAGCTGCTAAAGTTTGGACACTAAAGAAGATGATTAAAACCCAAAAGCATATATCACACACATTCAACAAATTAACTAAAAAAACAAAACAAAGAAGCCTAAAATTTGAAAATTTCAAGCATTAAGTGAAGGACCATTCCTTAATAAAAAATAAAAAATGCAGCACAAAAGTCATAACCTTCTTGGATTAGGCTATATCCATCGTTATAGGAACACGAACCCTTGAATCCATGATGTTTTGGTTTGTAACCAAAGCCCTCAATCTTGGGGTGTCAAAATTTGCCACGACACGAAATCCCGACACGTTTGAAAAACATGTAGGGTTCGGGTTGACCCAACGGGTTGCCGGGTCAGCCAGGAAATCCGTTTGAAATGATTGCCTGGCTGCGGAGCGACCTGCCCGGCTGCCCGTGGACCTGCCCGAGCCTGCTTGCCCCCTTCCCGTGCAAGCTGCCTACGCGCCCGCCGAAGCTGCCCGCACCTGCCAGCATGCGAGCGTGCGCCCGACCCCCCCCCCGACACGCGCGCGGTCGCGCCAGCCTGCTTTCTTCTGCTTCTGAGTCCGAGCCCGCCTTCCCGTGTCGGGTCAGGTCAACTCGGCAACCCGTCGTGTCAGGTCTGGGTTTGGATTTCCAACTCGTCTTCCTACCCAGGTCGGGTTAGGGTTGACCCGTTTAAACCCGGGTCAGTTCCGGGTTAGACCCAAACCCGACTTGTGACCCGAAATTGACAACCCTACTTCAATCAATAGATCAATATGAGCTACATATCATCATAGTTAAAATTTGATAGAAAAACTAATTAGCCCAATTTTATAATTATTCTAGCATAAAAATATAAACCATATATAATAGAAAAATAATGCAAAAAAAAAGGCATAAACCTTCTAGCATCAAGATAAATCTAATGCAAAAAGATAGAAACTTCTAGAAAAAAATAGAATCATATTATACATGTCGATGAAAATAGTCTAGAAGTCTAATTAGCCATCAAAGACTCTAAAACCATTCATATAGTTCAGAGAAAAGGCTTTTGACATTGAAGGGTCAAGAATACTTGAATTTCTATTTTCTACCTTCTAAGTTAGTAAGTGATGTACAAACAAAATATTTTGAAGAATAAAGAAAGTACTTTATAAAGATTGAAGGCATGAAATAGTGTTTCAT